TCCCCCCCCCCCCCGGCTCCCTGTCGATGAGAAAACGCCCGCGCCCTTCCTCCACCCCGCTCCCCTCCACCCCGCTTGCCGCCGCGTCGTCCCCCACTCTCCACGCCGCAACCTTTCCCTCGCCCTCCACGCCCGGCATCCACGACCGCCTCACGCCGCGCCTTCGTCGTCGCCCGCACTCCCTCTCCTCTCTTTCGGCCCTCGCGCCCGCCTCGCCGCGCGTGCACGACCGCCTGAGCTCTCCGCGCCGGCGCCGCCCTCGCTCCCTGCCCGCCCGCCTCGCGCGTCTTCCCGCGAAGCCTCCTGCGATGTCCGCGCCCTCCGTCGCCATCGCGCCCGCGCCCGCGCCCATGTCGCCGCTGCTCGCCGACGCCTGGCACCGCGCGCTGTCTCACACGGACGGCCGCGACAAGCTGTTCCGCCTCGTGCAGTACGTGTGCAAGCTCGTGCGCGGGCTGGAGTGCGGCCGCGGGTCGCCCGCCCCCCACTCGTCTGCCGCGCGTGTCCACGCCCTCGAGGCCGCGCTCGGCACGTCCAGGCAGATCTGGCGCCTGCTCAAGTGGGCGTCCGTGTACGCCAAGTCGCGCGCGCGCGTCTCCGCGCTGCGCGCCGCAACCCCGCTGCCGGATGTGGCCGCCGTGGCCGCTGATGTCGCCATGTTTTTGTACTACTTGTCAGATAATGTTACGTTTTTGCACAAGGTCGGCGTGCTCAAGGGGGACGTCAAGACGGCCGGAAGGCGCGCGGCACGGTTCTGGCTCGCGGCTGTGGTGGCCGGGCTGGCCGGCAGCGTGCATTCGGCGGCCGAGCTGGCGAAGAGGGAGACGGTACTGAGGAAGAAGATTGCGGAGAAGAGCGAGGATGAGGGGGAGAGCCGGAGGGAGTATTACGCGACGCTGAGGAGAAAGAGGGCTGTGATGGCGGTGTGCGCCAAGCAAGGAGGGGATGCAGTCGTGGCGTTTAGCTTGTGCGGCGTGGGCGACGTGCACCCGGCGGTGGTCGGGGCGTGCGGAGTGGTTAGTAGCGCCGTCGGATGCTGGCAGGTGTGGCCGAAAGTGCAGAGTTAGAGAGGGGGAGGCCGTTGTAGGGTCGTAAACGAGAGGCGATAGAGTCGTAATAATGAGCTGTTTATATCCGGAATGCAAGACTAAAGACCCCAGCTACCCCCAAACACGATCGCGAAAAGCAAACACACGACACCCACAATCCCCCTTTCCTCGCGGCGCCCAGAACCCACATCAACGGTGCTCCATCAACCTGAGCATGCGAGCGTTATGCGCCTTGGAATCCGCGCCCGAAAACACCGGCGCGCCTCCGCCGCGCTTGGAGGCGTTCTTGCGGTCGACGTACCGCCTGCTCCTCCTCTCGAACGAGCGGGTATCCGCGCCGTAGTATGCCGGCTGCTGCTGCTGCTGCTTCTGTGGCGGCACCTTGCGCGCGGCCGCGGGCGTGCGTGGCGGCGCGAGGCGGCGCTGGCGACGGTTCGCCGCCGCGCTGCTCGAGCCCGTGAACGGGACGGCGGACACGGTGCTCGGCGTCCGGTCGGACAGCCGGCGCAGGCGCGCCGTGTGGTGCTGCAGATCCGGCATCGACGAGTCGCGACCCGCGCGCGGGGAAGCGGGGGCGGCCGCGTCGGCGGCGCGGGCGGCGAAGGCGGCGGACATGGCGGGAAGGAGGAGGTGAGGTATCGCTTGCGGAGGCGGGAAGGGGGAGGTGAGGTGTCGCTTGCGGGAGGCGGGTGATGGGGGACGCGTGTTTTTGTAGCGGTAGGCGTGGGATGTGCATTATCTCTCGATTTGGAAGGCGCGGCCAATGAGGGCAGAGCATGCGAGAAGGAAACTAGAAAAAAATTTAGGAAAACTAATTGCGGGCGTGATAACTACACTGTGCCTTTTGTACTTGTACGCTAAATAGTCTTTACAGCATGAGACACTGTAAACAGTAGGCTGCACCCCGCAAAATATCTTCTCGCCAGTGGCAGGCGGCCACTTGTCGAACGCCACTTGCATGCCGCTTCGTGAACCGCCCAACCGGCACGGCTTTGCGGCCAACCACGCTCCGCATTCACCACCAATGCCGCTTTCACTGGACAAACGCCCTATGTGCTCCTCGCCATCGGTTTCTTAACAAAACCCAAGGCGAAAGCACTCCTCTTCGTCTCCAGCACTTAAGCCTCTGTGCAATAGGCACGAACCCCTCAGCGTCCTTCAATTTTCTGTCCCTCCTCAGCGTCTTCTTCTCCTCATCGCATCCCGCCTGGAGCCTCAGCATTCTCGCAGTAATGAACACTCCTGCCTTCTCCGCCCCAGCGGCACCCCTCACCCGCGCCTCCGCCTTCACTGCCCGCTCACAGTGCCGCCCGTCCACCGCCTGTGCCCCCGTGGCGCGGCGTCGCCCGGGTCTGCGCATGGAAGCTGCTGCGGCCACAGAAGTCGCTTCAGCCACGGGAGCTGCTGCGACCACGGGAGCCTCTGCGCCCACGCCCATTGCGCCCGAGCCGTGGCCGCCGGCCGGCATGACTGCAGAATGGGCCGAAGCCGTGGACCGTCTAGCGTCGTCGATTCCGTCAGCTACTCGAGCGGTGGCCGACGCGGCGCTGGCCGACGCGGACGGCGACGAGATGCAGGCACTGGAGCTACTAACACAGAGCTCGGGCTCGGACATCCAGCGGCAGCGCGAGGCCGCTGTGGACAAGGCCCGCGCGGCGGGCGATACGAAGCGCGTGTCCGCGATCAAGGAGGCCGAGATGAGACGGAGGGCAACCGGAAGCGCGAAAGACTTTTTTAAGGGGTACGTCGAGGTCGAGGGCAAGTACGTCGATCAGGGGTACGTCGACGAGGGCGCGGATGCCATGGGAAAGGTCACTGGTATGATCAAGGGATGGTTTGGGAGAAAGTGAGGGGGAGGGGCTCATTGTATGCTTATATATACAGTACGTCTTGAGGGCATGGTAGTAAATTAGTAATCCCGCGCAGTTATGCGTCAGTTTTGTTCTGTTTGGTGCTTGGTTGCGTCCCGTTCGCCTCGTCCCGATCCCGCTTAGCCCTGGCCATCTTCATCTGGCGGTCGTACATGACGACAGCGCCTGCCGCGGCGACATTGAGACTGCTAGGCCTCCCCGGCGCGGTGGGAATGGCGACGTGCGCTTGCGCGTGCTGCACCAAGGCGGGGGGTACGCCTGCGTCCTCGCTGCCCAGCACATACATGGCTCTCTTGGGGTGCTTGAACTGCGAGAGGTCTTCGCCGCCATACTCGATGACGACGACCTGTGCGTCGACGGCGGCGGCCTCGACGAAAGCGCTCACGTCTGGGTACGCGACGCACGGCACCTGCCGGTATGTCTTGTAGATGTCGGCACTGCCCTCGACCTTCTTCTCGTAGCGCCGCCCGATCGTGAACGTCATCGCCGCGCCAAATTGCAGCGCCGACCGCCACAGCGACCCGTGGTTGCTCGCAGTCTTGCCGCGCACAATCCCGATCCCGAACCAGCTCCCCGTCAGTGCGGTGGCGGACGAGTCGCAGACGAGCTGCTGCGCTAGCCCACCCGCGCCGCGGCCTGCGTCGGACGCGCGCACTAGTTTCACGTCGAGGTGCGGAAGGGCCAGCACGGCGCCTTCCGCCGCCGGCTCGGCCGCGAAGACGCGGTCGCTGTCCGGGAGCACGGGGACGAAGCAGTCGGCAGATGGGTGGTAGATGTGCGGAGTGAAGCGCGTCGCGTCTATGGAGGCGGAGAGGACGGCGTGGAGGGCGGAGGCTGTGGCTGTGGGGGCGGTGGTGCCGCCGCGGAACGGCAGATGCAGCTCGCGGCCGTTGCGCGGGCGCTCGTACTCATGGTACACGCGGAGGCGAATGCGTTTTGGGGGGGAGGGCGGGAGGGATTGGGGTGGTGTCGACGGCATGGCGATGGGTGAAGCGGGGGCGGGACAGGGAGAGTTGCGATGGGTGTGGTGGTGGGTTTTAGGTAGCGGGGGTAAACAGCAAGGTGGACGACGGCGGGATGCAAGGGGGGCCAATTTTCAGATTGGGCCCTTCAGAGATTTTGTGCTTGACTTTCGCGCAGCTCACGTCTCGTACTGAAGCTGTGGCACCTGTCGTAAACCGAGTAACGACAACGTCTGGGCTCTTCGGGTGCCGCCGCCCACTCGCTCCCACACCTCTCACCCCCTTATCGGCCGCGATGGGAGCCGTCTTTTCGCATGCTCTCTGGTAAGCTACTACGCCCCCCCCCCCCCCCCCCTTTTGGGGGCTGCGCAGCTCTGCCCATTCTAACGCATCTCAGCCTGTGCATCGGGCATCTGTACCCATCCTACGTGTGCTTCCGTGCGCTGAAGCGCAACGCGAGCAACGCGGAGCTGGTGGAGCGTCTGGCGACGTGGGGCGTGGTGGCGGTGTTCCTGCAGGTGACGGGGCGCGCGCTGGACCCGCTATTCGGCTTCTGGGTGCCGCTGTACCACCCCGCCAAGTTCGCGTTCGTGCTGTGGCTCATCGCGCCGCAGAGCCGCGGCGCCGCGCGCGTGTTCGTCAAGCACGTCGAGCCCGCGCTCGAGAGACTCGAAGAGAGGATGGAGGAGCTGACTGCGACGTTGGACGATGACGATGAGCGGTGACCCGGGTTAAGAGGGCGGTACTTTTTTCCGATAAAATTTGGCCTGTTGACTGTGCCTCAGTGCTGTCCCCAGTGGAGAAGCCAGCGAGCAACTGTGAGCGCCAATTATTCTCGCCCATTCCAATGTGCAAGCCAGCGCTAGAGGGCGACGGCCGCAACAAACTGGCGCTCTCCCCTTTTACAGCGTGCCATTGTCTTTGCGTTAGGGCGGGATTCCGATGGTCGAAGCTCGTTGTCCCCAACCTCATTGATCAAACTACTACTGCACCATGTCGACACCCGGCGAGGTCCCCGAGCGTATTAGCTTCCCCTCCACAGAGGAGGGCGTGCTTTCGCACTGGAAGGACATCGACGCTTTCCACACAGCCAACAAACTCAGCGAGGGCCGCCCCGTCTTCTCGTTCTATGACGGCCCTCCCTTCGCCACCGGCCTTCCCCATTACGGCCATCTCCTCGCAGGCACAATCAAAGACACCGTCACCCGCTTCGCCTACCAAACAGGCCATCATGTGCCCCGTCGCTTCGGCTGGGATTGCCACGGCCTGCCTATCGAGTTTGAGATCGAGAAAATGCTCGGCATCAAATCGAGGGACGATGTCCTCAAGTTAGGCATCGACAAGTACAATGCAGAGTGCAGGAAGATCGTTATGCGCTACTCAAAAGAATGGGAAACTGTGGTCACCAGGCTCGGCCGTTGGATCGATTTTGAAAATGACTACAAGACTCTTGACACCTCCTTCATGGAGACGGTGTGGTGGGTTTTCAAGTCCCTGCATGCAAAAGGGCTCGTCTATCGCGGCTTCAGAGTGATGCCGTACTCCACCGCCTGCACAACCCCGCTCTCCAACTTCGAGGCAGGTTTGAACTACAAGGACGTCGACGATCCGGCTGTTGTCGTTTCCTTTCCCATCATCGACGCCGAGGAGCCTGCGTCTTTCCTCGCGTGGACCACCACCCCATGGACTCTTCCATCCAATCTCGCTCTTTGCGTCAGGGATGATTTGGACTACGTGTATGTGGCCGACCATAAGTCGGGCAATACATATGTGCTGGCAGAGTCTCGTCTAGTCCAACTGTACAAAAACCCAAAAAAGAAGAAGGGATTTGAGATCTTGAGAAAGGTTAAGGGTAAGGAGTTGGTGGGTCTCAAGTATCAACCGCTTTTCGACTATTTCAAGAACGAGTACGGTGAGCGCGCGTTCAGGGTGCTCTCGGATGAGTACGTCACTGACGCGGATGGTACTGGTATTGTGCATCAGGCGCCAGCGTTTGGAGAGGATGATTACCGCGTGTGCACCACGAATGGCATCGTGGATCTTGGCGAGGACTTGCCGTGTCCCGTGGACGACGATGGCAAGTTTGTGGACCCCGTTGTCGACTTCGCGGGGTTGCACGTGAAGGAAGCCGACAAGAAGATCATTGTGGAATTGAAGGAGAGGGGCCGCCTTGTGAAGAATGACTCTCTCAACCATCGCTACCCCTTCTGCTGGCGTTCCGATACGCCACTCATCCAGCGTGCAGTGCCGTCTTGGTTCGTCAACGTCACGGCAATCAAGGACAAACTTGTCGCCAACAATAAGGAAACTTATTGGGTGCCGGGCTTCGTCCAGCACAATCGCTTCGGCAGCTGGCTGGAGAATGCCCGAGACTGGAATGTATCCAGAAACAGGTACTGGGGCACCCCGCTCCCTGTGTGGACCAATGACGAAACTGGTGAATTCATTGTCATCGGTTCTGTGAAGGAATTGGAGGAACTGTCGGGACGCACGGGCATTACCGACCTTCATCGCGATTCCGTCGATGATATTGAGATCAAATCACCGAAGACGGGGGCGGCCTTGAAACGAACCTCTGAGGTATTTGACTGCTGGTTTGAAAGTGGCTCCATGCCATACTCATCTGTTCACTATCCATTTGAGAAAGACAGCGAAGAGCAGTTCAAACACTCGTTCCCCGCACCATCAATCGGTTGGCAACCACATGAATATCGTTGCTGGTTTTACACTTTGATGGTGCTGTCGACGGCGCTTTTTGACAAGCCTGCTTTCAAGAACTGCGTCGTCAACGGCCTTGTCCTTGCTGAAGACGGTAAGAAAATGTCGAAGCGATTGAAGAATTATCCAGATCCTGTGCATGTTCTAAGCAACTACGGTGCTGATGCGCTGAGGCTGTATTTGGTCAACTCACCGGTCGTGCGGGCGGAACCCTTGCGGTTCAAGGAAGAAGGGGTGCGTAACGTCATCAAAGATGTCATGCTGCCCTGGTTCAATTCTTTGCGATTCCTCACCCAAAACGTCCGAGCACTGGACAAGTCATCTGGGGTGCCACTCAAAATAGCTGATGCGTCAAAGCATGAAAAGCATAAGAATCAAATGGACGTGTGGATTGAATCGGCTCTAGGTTCACTGACGGCTGCCGTTCACGAGGAGATGAGTGCATACCGTCTCTACACCGTGGTCCCCAAGCTTCTGAGCTTTGTTAATTCGTTGACAGATTGGTATGTCCGCCTTAACAGGCCGCGTTTGAAGGGAATGGGGACGGAGGAAGAACAAAGAGCGGCTCTAGGAACACTGGCTCATGTTCTTCTGACCTTGGCACAGCTCATGGCACCATTTGCTCCTTTCTTCGCTGAATACACATACCAGATTTTGAAGCCTGTAGCTCCTGAGGAGCTCCAGTCCGGTTCTGTTCACTTTCTGATGCTACCTGAGGTAGATACGAGTCATGTGGACAAGCCATTTGAAGCGGCTATCGAACACATGAAGGCTGCAATCGTGCTTGGACGCGTCGGTCGTGAGCACAAAGAAATTGCTTTGAAACAACCACTGAAAGAAGCAACCGTTATTCACAGGGATACGAGCGTTATTGAGTCTGTTAGATCTCTGGAGATGTACGTTCGTTCCGAACTAAATGTGCGGACGGTCAAGTACTCGTCCGATGAATCTGAATACGTGATGCTGAAAGCTGACGCTGATGGTCGTGTTTTGGGACGAAAACTCGGCAAGGACTTCAAGACAGTGCACAAAGCTGTGCGAGCATTGAAACCGGAGGAGGTCCTTAAGTTGGAGTCGCAGGGTGAGCTGGAAGTGGCTGGGCATATTTTGACAAGCAGCGATGTGAAGATCAGTAGGGAGCTAAAGGAAGAATTCAAGACCTGTGGTGACTTACAAGTAGAAACATCTTCTAATGGGCTGCTTGTCGTCCTCAATATGGTGCGCGATGAGGACCTGGTGAATGAAGGTACGGCGAAGGAAATGATCAACCGAATTCAAAAGCTTCGAAAGAAGGTGAATCTGAGACCAGAGGACAAGATTGAAATATTTATTGATACTGAGGATGCCTCGTTACTATCTGTTATGTCCAGCAAGGAAAGTGTATTCCGGGATGTGCTGAACGGCTGTATTCCTCTAGTGATTTCCGAAAAGGCGGAAGAAGCGGTGGAGATTGCTTATGAAAGCGTAGAAGCGATTGGTGAAGCCGAGCTGAAGGTTTGCCTGACCAAGGCGTCAGTTGCGCCCAGCACCGCGCGGATCCAGGAGCTTGTGAGTGGGAATCAAAGAGCAGCGCAAGCTATTTCGGCGTATCTGCGGTGTCGGGATCTGAAGTGCCTCAACGTGGAGAAGAAGGAGGATGGTATGCTTGAGAGTGTGGATGTGGCAGTGACAGTGGATGGGGAGGTGAGGTGCTGCTCTGTACGGATAGGCAAGGAATTGTTCTTGTGCACCGCGGATCGCGTAGCTGCCGGAGCTCCTTTGTGAAGGAAGAGAGTAGAATAAATACATACGCACTGACTTGCCCATGAAGGCTGTGAATTCCCTCAGGCCTAATCAGTAATAAGACGAACGACAGAACAACTGATGAAATGAATGCCGTGACGCGTAATGCCGTGACGTCACACCGATGACGCGAACCCATCACGCTATCTCGTACTCGCCATTTTCCCGCCATTCCGCACTCCCTCCGCAATTCGAAATCTGTCACCCGTGGAATTCACATTCCGCATTCCGCTCTAACTGAAAGGTCAGTTGATCCCATCCCCTCCGCGTTCACCACTTTCGACCCTTCCCCCCTCTGCACTCACCATGGCCAATCTCTTCGATCTCAACCAGCCAGTCGTGCTCGATCTAGGCTCGGGCCTAACCAAAGGCGGCTTCGCGGGCTCACCGGAGCCGGTCGCCATAATCGGCACGCTAGTTGGCCGTCCCAAGCATCCGCAAGTGATGCCGCTAACTTCTCCCCCTCCGCCAGACCCCTCCACGGCCTCCTCCGCGCGCCCGAAGTACGCGGCCGAGCCTGCCAAGGCACGGCGCGTCGCCGTCGGCGAGGCGCTGCGCACACTGGCCGGCGTCGTGCGCATCTCGTCGCCGCTCGAGCGCGGCGCCGTCGCGTCGTGGCCGGACGCCGAGGCCGTGTGGCGCCACATGCTGCAAGACCTGCTCCGCCTCGGCCACGGCGAGCACCCCATGCTCGTCACCGAGAACGCCCTCAATCCGCGCGCCAACCGCGAGCGCATGGCCGAGTTCTTCTTCGAGTCTGCGCACGCGCCCTCGCTATGCCTCGCCGTGCCGCCCGTGCTTGCGCTGTACGCGTCAGGGAGGACTACGGGGCTTGTGCTGGATGTTGGTGACACTGTCGCTACTGCGCTCCCGATTGCTGAGGGGCACTGCGATGCTCATGCTATTCGGAGGATTGACATGGGGGGGAGGGATGTCACGGATAGGCTCATTACCCTCATGCGGAAAAGCGGCAATCCGCTGTTTGCGAGCTCGTCAGAGCGTCAGGCAGCGAGGAGGATCAAGGAGAGGCACGCGTTTGTGGCGGTTAAACCGAGTGAGGAGGAGCATCAGTTTGCGGCCGGGAGGAAGGAGATGACCGAATTTGACTTACCAGATGGTAATGTTGTGCGCATTGGAGCGGAGCGATTTCGCGCAGCAGAGATATTGTTTCAGCCCGAAATTGTTTCGTGCGAGTTTGGAGGCGTGCAAGATTGCTTGCAAACGGCTGTGGAGGCGGGTGATTTGGAGATCCGGAGGAGGTTGTATGGATCCATTTTGTTAGCGGTACGTTGGCGACTTTTGGGTTGCATATGAAGGTGTCGAGTTCTTTTTGCGTCACTAACATTGTGTGTATGCTGGTTGTATTTTTGCTTATGACAATGTTTACTTGCTGTGCAGGGGGGTACGACCAAGTTGCCGGGCTTTGGATTAAGGCTGCTGGAAGAAATGAAAGTACTGGCTCCCCGCGATTCAAAAGTGCGCATCCATGCACCGCCAGACCGGCTGCAAAGCGCATACACCGGCGGTACAATTTTGGCGTCTTTGTCGACAACGTTTCGGTCCATGGCTGTCACAAGGGCGGAGTATTTCGAGCATGGGGCCGCCATCATGCACCGTAAAACGCTGTAGCAGGACAAAATGTGGCGCGCGAGTAGTTTTCGGGCATCGTCGATGCCCACCACAAAGAGGGAAAAGGCCCTGCCATGATAAGAAGAGAAATTGGAAACAAGAAACGTGTTGCAGAGGGGGCTCACCGCAGTAACACATCCAGCCGGGCCTGTCGGTCATGCGGTCCTACTAAGGACAAAATCGGAAATTTGGAGCGCCGTTTCTACAACGATCTCAGCGCCGTGTTGTTTGAGTTCATCGACGGGGCGGAATCCCCAGGAGACTCCGACAGGCGTCATGCCTGCCGCAATACCCGTCTTCATGTCAATATCGGTGTCCCCTACAAAGACACAATCTTTCACCTCCACCCCGTCCATGTGCTGCCGCATGATGTTTAACGCAGCGGTAGGGTCGGGTTTAAGGGGCACATCATCCCTTGCCCCCGCTATATACTTCCACTCAATACCCGGCAGGTGGTCTGCAACAACCTCGCGGACGTTGGGCTCAGTTTTGTTGGACAAAATGGCGAGCTGGACTCCCGCCTGTTGCAGCGCGTGTAGCATGTCCAGGACGCCGGGGAAAACCGTGGTGTGCACATGGCCTTGCGGCCCGTTCTCATAGTTCCTTTTGATCTGCACACAGCGGGCGACAAGGTCCGACGGGGGCTCCTTTCCTAAAACAGACTGCAACAAGCGGGTCATTAATTTCGTGTTGCCGCCGCCAGCCAGAAATCTGTACTCCTCGATGGTGCGTGGTTGCGTGCCCAGGAAGGATAAGGCGTGGTTAGCCGAGGCTGCGATGTCACCCAGTGAGTCGACAAGAGTGCCGTCGAGATCGAAGATTGCTGCCCGCATGCTGTTTGGTGAAAAGGGACGGGGGTGAGGAGGGGAGAGACTCGTTGGATGTGAGGCAGTGGCGGTGTTTGCACTTGTGAATTGTGTGCGTAGAGCACGTTGTGCGGTGGTGGAGTTCGGCGGGGAAGCATTCACATGAGGCCGCATGTGGACACAACGCCTCCTGCGAGTATAACCTACGTGGACTGCACGACAGTGGACAATTTCTTAGATTTTTGATCATCAGTCCAACAAGGAAGGCGCGTTCATCGCTGCAATCAACACGAGTCTTCTGTCTGAAGGGGAGGAGGAGAATATATTTGTCAGGCCGCGCCTGTCCAAGCAGGCCGTGTCCGTCCAAGCCCGAAGGATGCTTGGCGTGCTTCCAAGCCCGAAGGATGCTTGGCGTGGGGCGGGACAAGGAGAATCGGGAGCGCGGCAACAACGCGAGTGAATGGCATGGTCCTCTTTCGCGTCTCTTGTTGGATCACGGCAGCGGGCGACGTTTGTACCTTATTGTTTTTGACTGTGGATATCACAATAGGGACCCAAGATGCTTCACGCCAGAATGTCGTCTGCCAACGACGATCTCTTTTTCACATAGTGCGAGGGTGGGTATGTTGGGAAGACTGGTACAGGGGGCCTGCGCCTCGTTATCTCTCTCAAGAATTAGACCTCTATCCCCGTCCGCGGAATGCGACTTTAAGCTCAAAGTCCACACTAAACTACATTACGTAGGAGAGCCTCAGTCGTCACCGACCGGAAGCCCCCCGTCAAAACCGGCTATCAAAACTCATCCTAGATGCAGTTGAGAGAAAATCTCACCCTCCATACATGTCCGTTAATCCTCTTCCTCACTCCTCCCGCACTTCTGGCTCCGGCAGTTCAAAATGGGGCAGCACGCTTCCCACAACCCATAACGGCACACACGGTTCACCCCCTAGAACCTCTGGATATACCCCCCTGACCTCCCTCGCCCTCGCCATTTTGTCTTCACCCTCCTTCCCCCTTGTCTTCCCATTAAACTCGACTCTGCTCAAAAAATCGCCATACCTTTCCATCGTCCTAGAATAAACATCCGCAGAGGCTACCGTAAACATCCTTTTCTCCCAAACGGGCGCAAACCGCTCCTCGATAGCCCTGTACAGCCCCTCCGCCTCGACGGGCCGCCCACTCCCTTCATACAGCCTCGCCAACCGCAGCAACGGCTCGCTCTTGTCCAGCTGATTGCCCGTCTCGCCCGCTACGCGCACAGCCTTCGTCAGCAAGTCCTCCGCCATATCGCGATCGCCGTCCTCCCCGATGACGTCGGCCGCCGCGCATAGCGCCTCAACATAGTCAAACCCCCCCGCGTGCTCCCAGCGCACGACGAGCGCCTTTGCATGGTCGACGCGCTGCGCCGCGTCCGCGCCATGCAGCGCCAGGAACAGGCGCGCGAAGCCCGGGACGTCCGGCACGGCGCGGTCCGACGCGTCCAGGGCGACCAGCGCGGACAGCAGGGCGGTCATGGTGGGGCCGCTCGGCTCGGACGCGAGGGCTACAAGCAGGGCGGCTGCCGTGCGCAGGGGGGGCTGTGTGGCGAGAGC